GCCACATTGTTTTAATGTTTTAATGAAAATTATCAACCTACAAAGGGCTAAATTCAAAGACACCCCAAAAATTAAAGTGAAAAAATCATGCGGCAGGCTAGTCCATTTTGCAGAAATTTCATTGCAGCAACTAAAAATCGTACTCAGTACTTTGTATGGCCCCCACATGCTTGTATACATGCCTGATAATGTCGGGGCATGCTCCTAATGAAATGACGGATGGTGTCCTGGGGGATCTCCTCCCGAATCTGGACCAGGGCATCACTGAGCTCCTGGACAGTCTGAGGTGCAACTGGAGGTGTCGGATGGGCCGAAACATAATGTCCCAGAGGTGTTTTATTGGATTTAGGTAAAGCAAGTGTGGGAGCGAGTCAATGGTATCAATTCCTACATCCTCCAGGAATTGCCTGCATACTCTATCCACATGAGCATTGTCATGTATTAGGGGGAACCCAGGACCCACTGCACCAGTATACAGGGTCTGACAATGGGTCCAAGGACTTCATCCCGATGCCTAATGGCAGTCATGGTGCTGTTCTCTAGGCCTATGCGTCCCTCCATGGATATTTCTCCCCAGACCATCACTGAGCCACCACCAAACCGGTCATGCTGAGCAATGTTACAGGCAGGATAATGTTTTCCATGGCTTCTCCATACCCTTTCACATCTGTCACATGTGCTCAGGGTGAACCTGCTCACATCTGTGAAAAGCACAGGGCACCATTGACGGACCTGCCAATTCTGATATTCTATGGCAAATGCCAATTGAATTCCACTGTGCCAGGCAGTGAGCACAAGGCCCACTAGAGGATGTCTGGCCCTCAGGCCACCCTCATGATGTCTGTTTCTGATTGGTCAGAGACATTCACAACAGTGGCCTGCTGGAGGTCATGTAGGGCTCTGGCAGTGCTCATCCTCTTCCTCCTTGCACAAAGGAGCAGATAACAGTCCAGCTGATGGGGACGTTCTACAGCCCTGTCCAGCTCCCCTAGAGTAACTGCCCTTCTCCTGGAATCTCCTCCATGCCCTTGAGACTGTGCTGAGAGACACAGCAAACCTTCTGGTAATGGCACGTATTGAGGTGCCATCCTGGAGGAGCTGGACTAGCTGTGCAACTATTGTAGGGTCCAGGTATCACCTCATGCTACCAGTAGTCACACTGACTGTAGCAAAATGCAAAACAAGTTAAAAAAAAAACAGAAAAGATGAGGAGGGAAAAATGTCTGTGGCCTCTCCCTGTTAAACCATTCCTGTTTTAGGGATCGTCTTATTGTTGCCCCTCTAGTGCATGTGTTGTTAATTTCATTAACACCAAAGCAGCTGAAACTGATTAACTACCCCCTCTTCTACTTAACTGACCAGATCAATATCACAGAAGTTTAATTTGATGCTGTACTCTGATTAAAAAGTGTTCCTTTATTTTTTTGAGCAGTGTATATTCAGCTTGTCAAAGTTATTTCCACATATAAGGGAGGTGTCCCATTTTAAGTTGCTAATTAAGGGATGATTTGGGGCTTAATGATTTTTTCATTTTTATTTTTTAAGTTCTATATACATTCTGGTTAGCTGGCCAGGTTTTGCATTTGATGCTACTGATGTTGGGGTTAGCCAGAGAGCAGAGGGTTGTGGGTAATGTTAAGTGGTGCTCAGTAACCTCCCTCTCTGTTTGCCCTGGTAGACTCCTGAAGGAGCGGGAAGATGGAGAGAAGGAGAAGACCACCCAGCTGGTGAACAGGGCTGCCAGCAGACGGTCCTGCTGCTTAGTACAGTAGGCACTTGTGCTGTCCCAGCTGCAATTTACTTCTTCTGCTTGTGCATTTGGACCTAGTCAGCCAGCTCTTTAGCGCCTGTCTATGGCCTGTCAGCACTAACACATTGGCGCTAACACTGTGGTAACCCTGTTCTGCTGTCTGGGTTCGTCACCCAGCAGGAAGCAGGATGCTGTTGTGTCATCACTGTGGATGTGTGGTAGGAGCTAAGCCATTGAGGTAAAAGAAATCATCGAACCAGGCTGACTTTCAACAGTCTTGGTTATGTTTATGTGTGATGTTGGTTGTGTGTTAATGCTTGTTAATATGCCATGGTACGCATGGCCAGACTCCAAGCCTCTTAATACAGACACTGACAGAACTGGAAAATACTGACGCATGCTGTTTTACAGAGCAAAAAAAACACAAACACATGTACTATTTTAATTGGGTATGCATGCTGTGTGTATACAAACAGCCTGTATAGTGTTGTATAGAATGCAGATGCCAAAGAAATACCCTGGTTACTAATTAAATACTTTTAGGTCTCTATTATTTGCCTGTCAGGCATGACTGTTTTTTTGTAAATTTGAATGATACCAGGCACTCGACTATTTCTGGAAGGTCTCAAAGTAGGCCATATCCTGAGATGAGTGAGTGAATTCTGAGTTAATGGATTTTACGCCTGCTGAGTTGCTGCTGGGTTTCACTGCTCGGCACAGAACCCCTGTTATCCGTTACCTTTAGTGAAACTACAGGGGTGACTAATTTGAGAACCGACTGACCTTCAGGGTCCTGACTCTAATCCCAGCCTGCAGGGTCTCTCAGCCTCTGTATGGTCACATGGGAGTGAGGTTCTCTGACCTCAGCATGATTCCCCCCCCCCCGACACTGTTTGCACACTGACATGTTCCTATGCAGGCCCAGTTGTAAATAAGAAACTGATTGTATATGTATATTGTATTAATAATTAATTAATTAAATAATGAACAAACAAATGTTTAACTTTTGTGGTACACTAACACTATTTTTGAAGTATGTTGATTTAGTCATGATACAACATTTAATCAATTTTGATTTCATATTTTTTAATACTTTGGCAGTACAGTGGCTCACTAGGTAGTACTGTTACCTCACACCTCCGGTGTTAGGGTTTAAATGTTCTCATGGTGTATGGGTTTCCTCTGGCTACAGTCCAAAGACTTAGTTAAGTAAACTGATATTCCTAAATTGACCATTGTGTGTGTTCCTTGTGCTGGGCTGGCATCTGGCCCTGCAGTCAGTCTTGTGCCTTGTGCTTCCTGGGAAAGCATCCAGATTCCTGCATCGTGCTGGATGGAGTGGTTTACCTAAATGGTAAAAATGAGACTTCAGTGAGAGTGGGAAAAGAATAACTCAGAATAAGTCATTTTTTGTATAAAACCTTAATGTTTTAGGATTTTTGTTTTGCATAATCATTTACGATTCATTAAGTTTAATAATGGTCACTAACAGATCCAAATACTCTTAAATAATCCTTCTGCACTCCACCTAGTGGACATGCCTATGAATAAAATGATCTACTCGTTCGTTCAGTATTTGGCAGGACGTAAGTTCAGAGCTAAATTAACACAATGTAGCAGTACATTGGAACTTTTCGCTGTACTTGAGTAAGGCAATCTATCAGGTATATATTTTTTTTCCTAGAACAAAATAAAGGTAACATTTTTTTGTGGGAAATATTTTATTCGCCTTGAACATAATCACAAGGATACAAATATATATGGAGTGATATTCCTTTGATTTGTATTATTACTGCTCATCATATACTGTAGACATGACAGTTCTAAATACTGACTACGATATTACAGCAGCAATGTAATGCATGCGCATATATATATATTTATATATGTGTGTGTACACAGTACATTCCAGATTTCACACATCCCTATTTTGAGGATTTACAATAATCCGATAATAGCTGAATAAGAATCGATACGAAAGCACATTACTAATCCAACGCAAAAGCCTGAGATAATTTGTTCACACTAATAAACGAAATAGCTCTTCGTAATATCAGTTTTTTTTTTTAATTATAAACAAAGCTTCTGAATATTCATTTGCAGCGAGACCTGTCATTTGGTTCTTATACTAAACACTACTGATATGTGTGGAATCGACATCGCTGGCAATCAAAGTGAATTATTGTCAAAAACTTGCTGCCCATGAATATTCATGAAGACTGAAACGAGAGGCGCTCCTCGCCGAAGATGCAGTGTCAGGTAAGGAACCGGAATATCTTCATCGAGGATGTGCAGAATTTCACAGTTATGAAGGAATTTGCAGCTGGTCTGGAGTGTAGTTCTCCAGCCATCACCTTGGCAGCGACTTCAGTAAGAGCACAGGTGAAGAAGAGCATTCGCGGCTCCCGGGGCACATTGGTCTGCCCGGAAACGAGTTTCGAGGATGGGGAACCCCGTTGCATGGTGGGAACCATTAGCAGCAGCAGCAGCCACGGGATTCCGGGGGCACTGCTTAGCTTTACTTTCCAGATTAATCCAAACTGTTTGCACTGGAGAATAAGTGGAACAGCAAGTCCCATAGTATCGCACACATTACTACAGGCAGAAACTGCTGTAACTGTTGGAATGGGCCGGACGTAGGGAGACGTGGGGCTTGTGTGTAAATGGGGAGAGGGCTCCCTCTAGTGCATGCCAGAGGAGTGGCATCATGTCACCAACAGACAACAGCAGAGGCGCGCACACACACACAATGGGGTACTATCAGCTCAGTGCACTGTACAGTCCCGGAAGACCACAAAATATCAGCCAGAAACCCCCCATACCCACTCCGAATGGCTAAAATACCGATACAGCAACTTCAAAGGAGAATTCACGCTTATCTAACTGATTTCCTTGCAAAGAGGTTTCTCTGTGCCAAGTCCTACAACTACACGGTTTAACATCTTATTTGTCATATTTAGCGCCCATAACTGGCAAGATTTTTCAGTCATATATAATCCATATTTAAAGGAATGGCCATACAAATGGCCCCTTACTTCAGACTCTAACTTATATTGGTGACACCTTACTTGATGGGGCACAAATCACATGGTATACTATTACTTATGTATTAATCACAAACTAAGTCTTAGTTACATACTGGCCTCATGTTAATTCATCATTAATGAATCGTGACACATGTTTTATCTCAAGCAGTTCCTACATTTGTTACTGTATCTGTTCTGTAAATGTTTGTGAACTACCGAAAGGACTACTGAAGGAACAAGTCATGAATAACACAAGTTAAATACTGATCATATATTTGTTAATCATTAATGAATTATGATACATCTTTCATCCCAAGCCGTTACTATATTTGTTACTATATCTGTTAATTGTGTAAACCTGTATGAACTTCTGACAAAACTAATGAAGTAATGAATAACACAAGTGATATACTAATCTCGTTTGTTCATCATTAACGAAATGACTTTTTTTTATCTCAGGTAGCAACTATATTTGTTCATGATTTGTACTTCAGTAGTAATTGAGTTATTACTAAGTTTTTGCGCTCCGTCAATAAAGTGTTACCATGATATTCTAAGCAATCAACACAAATGTGTGAATCATCACAGCTTTATCAGAAAACAGCCATGGACTGAGATCAATGTTACACTGCCTGTTGTCTTTTAAATACTTGGACTTGCGAAGGGAGGCAGGTATAGAATTTGTTAGACAAATAACTTTTAAACAACTTCCTTCAAATTATTCATTTAATCAGATACAAGAAAACAACCTCGGGGTCCCCTGGCTGTTCAGAAAGACCTATGATCATCACTTGGGCTTCAAAATGTACTGTGTTACAATAATAATAATAATAATAGAGATATATAAACTCATTCTCAAGACTCTTGTGAGGGTAAAGAGTGAAATTACTACTTTCATTTCCAGCCTTGCCAATAACCTTGTAAGGGCCATGCCCATCCTCCCATCTGGCTCATCCTTCATGTACTAGAGCCCCTTGGCCCACAAGGACCTTTACCAGATTGGCACAATCTGCCCCACTAACTGGCAGACACTTAGCGCATCTTGTAGTCGTGGGAGATTGCTGCCTCACACAGCTGTCCCTTGAAGTCCAGCTCAAAAGTAAAGTCCAGGTCTCTCTGCAAGAGAAGAAAATGGATTGTCAGTCCCTGGTCTTGCGGCTGGGGCCGGAAAATAGCCCCTTTAAGTCAAGTTCTCCTTCTTTGTTCACCCTGCTAGTATATGGATGTTTGGCTAAAACCACCTGTCATTCAAAGGACACTGATGAAAATCACAGTGACTTCCGGCAGAAACCTTGCTGTCCATTCTGAGCTCTATGGCAAGACATCACTGAAGTTTACAGTTAAACTGTAGCTAATAGATTAGCTAATATGTTAATGATTGTACTACAGGCCATTGTGCTTATGTCTACAGACTGAGCCCATTGGCTGTTGGACATTCCGATGCTCTAATCACAGCTCCCAAAGCACAAAGACCACCCATCCCTCTACCATGGTGGGGGTGAACAGTTACCACATTCTTCTCATTGGGTTTCACAGCAATACTGCCAATGATCTCCTCGCCACGGCGCACTGTAAGGTACTCCTCCAGGTAGAAGACAGTCTGCTTCCAGTGTGTGTAGGGTGCATCTGGTGCTGCAATGAGAAGAGAACACAGCTGGTGTGATTTTGCTACCTCTCAAGCTTGCTGTGATACTGAGCCAGAATTAACTCAATATGACGCTTCAACTCTAATAAGGAACCCACTACAAATGTGGTGTAAGACTACGGAACACTTGCATTTCATCACGTGATATCCCCCTGTACTATTACAAAGCAGTGGGCAATCATGATCCACGAACTTATCACGATTCTTTTTCCTGTTCATTTTTAAGATATACGTTTCTTAATAATACAAGCAAACTAATTCCCATATTTAAAAAAATATAGCTCTATAAGGTAATAAAACATAAAAGAAAAAAAACATACTCCAAATATTCTTTTGTGTTTTCTTTATGAGGTAGTAAGAAAGGTTTGCTGCCATCTGATGTGCAAACCTTATCTGTGGAACTTTTGCAAAGAACTGTTGGTTGCACTGCAATGATTTTGGAAAATTGAAACATGTTCCATATTACTGATGTCAAATTCTTCTTACAGACCAACTCCTTCATGTTTTCCATGCCACTTCATTGCAAAAAGGGAATTTGTTGAATGTTCCTCATGTCATGTTGCTATGAGAGCATGAAAGGGAGAGAGGAAGAATTCCAAGCCACTACCTACTGTTTGCTGTTACTGGTTTATTAGTGTGATGAAATGGATTTGGCTGACAAGACAAAGATGCAGATATGAGCCATAGAATTGCATTGTGGAGACATTTTAATTGTTCACAATCTAATATAATCGAATAGCACACCCCTGCTTTTACAGTTCTGGTACTTCCCATAACTTGTACAGCTGTGGTACCTCCTATAACTTGTACTCTGCTGATGTCTCCCTTTACTATTACAGTATCCGCCTTCAATTATAAAACTGTGAGCTCTCCTCAAAGCCCTGGACAGAATGATTGTCTTTAGCTTCAGGTTCTCTAAGTAAAGGCATATGGTTGCAGAGGCTTTGGTATTAAACACTTCCATGTGTGCTGTTCAATGAAGTCACAGAGGGACTGACCTATAATCTCTTATTTCTTGCCTGCATCTAACTTGGTGATGTCAGTATCCCAGAAAAAAAATGGGGGAGGAGGCAAAGTCAGCCCTCGGCTTCTGCAACATGTCCTCCTTGGTGGTCTCCAGCAGGAAAATACACCACATAAGGGCATCTAGATGTGCTGGGGTCTAATTCCTGGGAAAATGCCTAATCTTATCCCTGCATTTTGGTACAGGCACCAGGAGCAAAGGTTAAAAAAAAAAACGAATGTTAGACTTTTGCCCCAAAATGTTTCTAAGGCAATATGAGACAGAAAAGCATTATAATTTTTATGTACTCTGGAATCACTAAAAGACATGGGGTGCGTTTTCCAATAACGATGACACTTAGAGTCTCTAAAGAAATGTCTTACGAAAGGTATTTCTAGGTCTGTTTTCCTAGCAATCTCTTAAGAGATTGCTTAAGAAGGAGCTTCCTAACAGTGACCTTCATAGGCACCGGAACACTTGATTGGTTGACATCGATGGCTCGATGTAACGACAGCGGGATAAAGCATGACCCAGAATGCAGGCTGATGCTAAGAAACCCCAGGATTGGGGTGTTTATTGAGTAGTTCAGGCAAGAGCAAAACCAGGGACAGCAAGACAATGACAGAACTAAGGACTACATAGCTATGAGGAACTTAAATACTATCTCTAATTAGGGCTAACAAGACCCAGCTGGGATCAATACACTTGGGGGCTGGAATGAGAGGTAAGGCTTACAAGCATTGGGCAGGGCATGTTTGAGGCGACTGTGGAATATTATTTAGCACTATAAAACATAGAACATAATTATTATGATATTATTAAAAAGCATACCAAATACTCATGATGTAATCATTACAATGTAATCATCATAATGTAATCAACACAATGTAATCAATTGAGTATGCATTTGCACCTTATGTTAGCCTCAAAGTTTCAGTTAGCTACTTTATGTTAGCCCTGAATGTATGAATATCCATCTTCATTAGTGTTATATCTTATCACTATGTTGAAAGACAAATGTAGTATCAACCCTTTAGTTAGCTACTGAAGGGAAGGGATTGGCCTGAGTTCGCCTAAAGTTCACGGCTGAGTATTTTCAAAAAAAGTGGTCGCGCCACAATTATGTTTGGCCGAGGGACCAAAAAGTAAAAGAAATTACTAACAAGCTTATCACCTAGGGCTGTGGATCAAGAGAGAAAACAATGATTATGAATGGTTGAAGGAATGATGATGATGATGTTTAAGTGACCAGATATTGTTAAATGATAAGAAAATGTATAAAAATTGGTGTAAAACAGCATTGGACACACTTGGTTGTAACCTCATCATTGCAATAAAAACTGAATTTGGATCTACATGAGTGGCTTCTGACTTCTGATCTGGCAGGGAAGGAAAAAGCCATAACACGACACCCGAGGGGAAACAGAAGGGGAGAACAGGTGAAGCAGATTGGGATGTGATACTCGAGAATTGATTATTCCCGCCATGCAACAACTGCTTGACTGCCGCATGAGAGTAAGTGGTGTTCTTTATAAATGACACTGCACGAATCCTTCATAATATTGCATTAATCAGAAATTATGAAAACCTAAAAATAAAATACAAAATGAACAACTTGAATAATCTAATCCTAAATATGATGTTCGCCAACTGGGTGCACAAACCCGTCTCCCCATATTGTAATATCACCATTTTATTTTTATTAGTTCTATAAAAATTCTGTGTGCACCGGTCTGTGCATGTCATTGATATAGGGACAATGGCATAATAGCTGAAAGAAAAGTTGCATTACTGTCTTAACATAAGAGAATGTCCTGTGTGCTTCAGTACTGACTACTAAAGACTATTCCAGGGTGTTTTTTTAGAGAAAATATAGTAGACTGACATGTAAATGAACCCACAGTGCCAACTCCTATCAACCTTAAGACTTTGTGACTTTGGCACATTTAGAGTGGTTTGTGCAGTCCTGGGGCATCAGAAATAGGGGGAACACATCCACCCCAATTTCCTTCTCAATTAATAAAGAAATAAGTAATCAACACCGCGTTCCTTATCTTTCATTATAAATCCGTGCATTACTAAGGGCAATTTGCTGCACATTCAGAGCACAAGGACTAAACCTAACAAAGATTGCAGTAATGTATCAGACAAAATAATTTTATTGTGTCGATCAGTTATTTTTTAGTTAAGTGATGTTTGGTTATAAATCTGTTCCCTTAACTATGTTAGTCTTATTTTAAATGAGCAGTATGAGCCGACAACAGCAATAAGAGACAGCAAAGAGCGACTCAGACCAGCCTTACAAAATAATATCTTATAGAAGATATACTTAACTAAGAACACGGGAAACACGTCGGACCATTAAGAATCAACTTAGCTTAACTTTAACAATGTTGCTTAAAAGGTTTCAGGAAATGCACCCCTGGCCTGTTAACTGCCTACATCAAAATCCCATTGTTTCCTGACAGGTCAGTCAATGATATCTGAACAATATTTACAGTATATATCTTATAACTAATCTCAGTTCCCACAGGCTCTGTCTAGCCAAACATATTTGGCTAGACATGAAAAAAAATACTATTTTGCTCTGGTTTGAATGGTTTCCAAAGACTTGGATGTGTGATTTTCTGACGCATGAGTCATTTTTTGACTTGTCTCTCTGATTTTAAAGTCATATAACAGCACAGCTCCTGAAGCATCTGTTCATACTGCTAGACCGTCCTGGGTTTACCCAAGTGGTGCAAGCTGTCATTGCACAGGTGTGGCACTATGTAACTCTTTACAAGAAATAACAGCTTTTCGAGTGTCTGTTTCGCTGGCCGCAAGCCCCATGAGCCACCTGTCAGTCACCACCAGCTGAAGGACGTCTCCAACCACTAAGAGATACAGGCATGGGGTAAATCTTACAGCAAATCATTCAGCTCCACAGCTGCAGGATTGTGGTTTGTTTTGTTGATTGTAAAAAAAAATGGACTTTATAATAACAGGTATCAGTGTATGGACAATGCACCAATCCCATTCCCCAATGGCTATTGTCTACATTTCAGTTACCCCACACACCAGGGGTTGGACCTGATTTATTTTTGGATAGTGCAGGTGTAAACTGTACCCTGGGCGGTGAAAAGATGGCAGTCCTGACACTCAATGAATATTCTCTGTGGTCACCCATGATTCTGCACATAACCCATAAATCCTCTCCTTTGTCATTTTGAAAGCCTGTCTCACACAGAAGGTCCTCTGATGCTCTGCCCCAAGGATTGGTCCAGCGCCTGGCTCTCCCCACTCAGCTGGGTCTCAGAAACTGCTGCCTGCAGCTCACAGCTGCCTGATTTTCACATCTCTTTGCATTTCCCTGCTTACACACTCTTTCATCAGTCCTTTATTCACTGGTAGTCTTGAAGGAACCAGATTCCATCCAGTCTCACAGTACAGATCTTCTGTTTGCTGAAGTAATGTATACGAAGTTGGAATCCTTGCCTGTCATACCCATGCAGCTTGTTGCACAACCCTTACGTAATGAAATACCCTTTAGTTTTTATTACGTTATTATGCTACAGATCACATTAAGAAAGAACTTTGGATGCTTAGAGGTTCCAATCAGATGTATTGTACCACAGAAGAAACCCTACCTGTGGAGAAGCCAGTCTTCTTATGACATTTGGTGAACTCGATGTTGAAGTAGGTGACCAGGGCATGGATGTAATCATTACGCTGGATTTGGAGGCAAAAGGCTGAGGTGAAGGACAGGTCCTCAGCCTTAACCGTGTAGATGTCCACTTCCTGTGTGGGAACAACAACTATCAAATATCTGTCCAACTTTGACCCAGCTTAACATTAACCTCCACCACAGCCTTTAGGACCACACTATAAAAATGATGCTGCATATTCCGGTTGAAAATAGGGTGAGTAAAAGGGGTGACACAACACTGCTTCTAATTGCAAGACACAGCCACTTGTGCCTAAACATTGGTCTGGATGCTGTCAATTTATAAATGGTCCTTTTTTATAATGTGATTTGACAAGGCAGTGATGGACTACAATACCTGCTGTTATCCTTCAAAATGAAATAACCACACTGGTTGTAAGGTACAGTATATGTTCTGGTGACGTGTGTGAATTCAGTTCCAGACATGACTATCATTCATGTGACGCAAAAGAGTTTTTAATCTCTGGTGTTTGTGAATCTCTGTGTGTGCTTGTATGTTGATGCTTCCATGTCTCATTCTCGCCAGTGCGGGGAAGCAATAAAAAAGGCCAATAGGATGTTGGGGTATATCTCCAGGTGTGTGGAGTTTAAGTCAAGGGAGGTAATGCTAAGATTATACAATTCCTTGGTGAGACCTCACCTAGAATATTGTGTGCAGGTTTGGTCACCATATCTTAAAAAGGACATTGCGGCCTTAGAAAATGTGCAGCGTAGGGCCACAAGAATGATTGCTGGAGGAATGTCATACGAGGAAAGGTTAGTTGAGCTAAATCTGTTCAGCCTCAAGCAAAGGAGACTGAGGGGGGACATGATCCAGGTCTATAAGATTCTAACAGGTTTGGATGCTGTTCAACCGAATAGTTACTTCAGCATTAGTTCAAATACAAGAACTCGTGGCCATAGGTGGAAATTAGCGGGAGAACATTTCAAACTGGATTTAAGGAAGCACTTCTTTACACAGCGTGTAGTCAGAGTATGGAATAGTCTTCCTGATAACGTAGTGCAAGCTGAATCCTTGGGTTCCTTTAAATCAGAGCTAGATAAGATTTTAACAACTCTGAGCTATTAGTTAAGTTCTCCCCAAGCGAGCTCGATGGGCCGAATGGCCTCCTCTCGTTTGTATAGTTCTTATGTTCTTAATTTATTTCACACAGACAGAAGGGGTTGGCTGCAATACTCTGTCAGCTGAGCTGTCCTGTCAAAGCAAGTCTGAGATTGGCTGAATTCTAGAAGAAGAATTTCACAGGAATGACTGTCATTTCCTTTTGGGTTACCAAAGGGAGCCCTACAATGTACAGAGTGTAATTAGTGACAACGCTGGGATAGTATATCCAGATTTAATTATATATCAGTTGTTTGTTTAGTGCTGGGTTACTATGAGCCACACCGTCTATACATACACAGGGCAATACGGAATATAGAAATATTAATTTATTAAAGCACATTGTGAAACACAGGCATGATGTGGTTATTCTCCGAGCAGCGAGCTTGGGAGACAAGTACCTCTACACCTGTAACTAATTGTTAAGGGGATAAAGCAGGTCTGTGCTGCTTAGATAAAGGAAGAGTGACAGACCTATTGTTAAGTTCCGTCCGTCTGTCCGTCCATCCATCCTTCCATTTTCTGCTCCATTCAAGGTCACTGAGTATGTTCAATTCAAAATACCAGCTTGTGCTGTCAGACCATTACAGATTACTCCAAATTGAACAGCACATTTAATATTAATTCAGTCTAAATGTTCTCATGTCACAACCCTCCTTGCCTCTCTTCATTGGCTCCCTACTGGCACTTACATTAAGTTCTAGTCCTTGATGCTGGCCTTCAGATCCATTATTGGACAGGTACACATCTCCATCAAAAGTCTCCTCAAGACCTCTATCCCATCTTACCCACCTTCTCCACCATGTAAGAAGTGTCAGTCCAGACACTTGGTTCCCCAGTGGTGGAATGAACTGCCGAACCACATTTAGTCAACACATGTTCTCTCCAGCTTCAAGAAATGCCTAGTCAACACCTTGACAGCATGAATGTTTGCAATGTGCTTCGGATAAACTGAATTGACAATGCTGTCACTCTAGCTTCACAATTGCTTGTGGGATTGGAGTGCTGACATTTCAGGGACTCCCCATACCTGCATTCCCACCTGCCTCTCCCTCTTACTTATGCTGCCATAGCCATATCTGCCGGAGCATTGCACTTCATATTGCACTCATCTAACTTTTAGCACTGCTTATAGTCTCCCTTACTTTGACTAATTGCATTTTTTTCCCCCCTACTTCTCCTGGGGGGTGCTGCCGGGAGACCTCAATCTATCAAGATGTCCAGCCTCTAGCAATGACGTCCGTGCATCCAGCTCGCCGATGTCCGTGCATCCAGCTCGCCGTTCTGCCTGTGTCGTCTTCCTTGTATGACCCGCTCCCTGCCTTCTGGTTGCCTGGCGATTGGAGGGAGCGTTGGCACTGGCTTGCCATCTCCCCCTGCTCACCGTTTGTTTCTCAGACTTAACTGTATTTGACTCTCCCTGCTGGCCCCTGGAGGATGGGCTCCCCCTTTGAGTCTGGTCCCTCCCAATGTTTCTTCCTTCTAGGGAGTTTTTCCTTGCCACTGTCGCCCATGGCTTACTCACTGGGGGCTTTGGGTGGGGATGCTGTAAAGCGCTTTGAGACAATGTAATGTTGTGATAATGCGCTATACAAAAATAAATTTTTTGTTGTTATTTTCTTTGCTTGTATGTCACTTGGACAAAGCTGTCTGCTAAATATGTAAATGTAAATTTCATAAAATTACATTGCTTGTAATGAAGGTTTAATAATATGACGTGATTTACATACTTATTTTAAATCGTTCAGCTCTTTAAATGCAAAAAAGCTGAGTTAATTTGACATTGATCTCACTCTATGTTAATGATACATTATGTAATAACTACACCAAGAACCTGTTATCAATATAGGGCAGACATCAGTGGCCTTCAAATAAAATGCTAGAGATCTGGGAACCTGTAGACATTATCATTCAAGCAGTATACTCATAGCTGAGGGGTCCACGTCTTTCAGTCAGCTACTCGTCACTGATATAAGCAAAAAATCAGTATCCCTGACAACGAAGGGCAATTTACTGCCAGTGATGCATCAGCGGGGTCAAGCCTGCTTCCTGTTTGTTACTAGAGGACTCTGTCCTATCTAAACTCAGGCCTCCATGAAATTCACCCATTTTGGGGGCATACATCTTACCAGAGATAACTATGTAAAGAAAAAAATAAACTATTCCAGGGAGACCCAGAAGAGACAGAGTTTTGCTGATGGTGAATGCTAATTCTCCTACCTGAAGATCTCACCACCAAAACATGCTGAAAAGTTACCTATGGACCACATCAGATACTGAAGGATCAGGGTCAGGATCAATTTTATTCATAAAGTACTTTGCAGCATATTTTGTTTGTTTGGTGCTGTGTACATCAGTGTCTTTGAAATTTCAACAAAGCTTTTTGCACATCACCTCTAGCTTCACATTCCTTTGAAAATCTTCAGCTGGGCTTCTATGAATGCCAGAGACACATACATACAGCCTTCATCCTTTGCGGAAGCTACACACAAACATACAAATACAGTGCATTGCATCCTAATGCATTCTCTTATTTGTTCAATAAATCGCCCATTTGTGTTTTTGCAACTGTGTCTGCGCTTGTGGTCCATTGCCTACGGTGGCCGATAAGGGCAAATCAAATTAACTTTTCAGAAAACAAAATTACAAAAGTCAAGACAAATTAACAAAGCCAAGCAAAAACGAACACACTTACAAGTGCCCAAACAAATTTACAAGCGCGGAAACAAATTTACAAGCGCG